TAGCTCATCTCGATTCTTATCTGAATAATGAAGATTTTTTTGGAAAATATAGATCACAGGATCGCGGAATTTATTAGGTGTTCTGGCTCTAAATAGAAAGAAAATTTAAAAAATTGGGTTTAATTTTATTTGTAGTTCCATTTCTTATTGTTTGGTAAAGAAGTTTGTCCATGAGGCATCTATATCTAAATGAGCTATATGTCCATTTCATATATATATATATATATATTGTCCATTTCAAAATATATATATATATATATATATATATATATATATATATATATATATATTTATATGAATTGGAAAAATTCAATAATTATTTAAACGACATTTTTTATGTTTATACATTTTTTTTTATAGATACAAATATTTAAGTAAATACTCTGTTTATAATAAACAGTATTAACAACATTTATTATAATCACAAAAATGTCTTAATTTTTTGTCGGAATTTTGTCCATTTTATATGTGACGTCTTTGTTTATATTTTTATACGCATCAAGCAGATATACCCAATTAGAGAAAAACATGGAGAATTGTAGTTTTAAAAACAGTAAAAACAACCTTGTTAACCGAAACGCTCCTCTGCACGTCATTTATATGACAGTTCCGTATAGGATACAGGTTCGATTACTGTTGGCGGACGCATATTTTCTATGGAAATTTCTCGGATATTCAGACCGGTAAATGTCGTTAAAAAGTCTTTATTATAAACAGAGCATTTTATTTTATTTGATATTAAAATGTATAAAACATAATTATATATATACATATATATATATATATATATATATATATATATATATATATATATATATATATATATATATATATATATATATATATATATATATATATATATAGCCTAACGAACATATTAGCAGTTTGGAAAAGAAAAAAAAATTTTTCGGCTACTGCTGATGAATGCTAAAACTCTTTTCTATAGAATTGAGCCTTGTTCTTGAATATAATGTTTATATAATAATTACCTTTTTCTATTAGCACCTGTTTGGATCCCAGCACATTGGCAAATATGGAGCATCAGCAAACAAAAAACAAAAAACAAAAAAATAAAAAAATACAGTTTTATAGAAAAAATACGAGCAATAGTCTCATATATATATATAGAAATATGATTGGCTCATACATAAGTAATAGTATACCTAAGACCAATCTCATACATAATAGAAAACTAAAACCGGGCTCATACATAATAGAAACCTAAGACCAAGCTCACACATAATAGAAAACTAAGACCAGGCTCATACATAATAGAAACCTAAGACCAAGCTCATTCATAATAGAAAACTAAGAATGAAAAAATACAACATACAAAACCCTAAGAGCAGGCTCATACATAATTATTTAAAAGACCAGGCTCATACATAATATAAAAATTTTTGATCATAAAAAAAACAATAGTAGCATCGACATTTTGTGTATATAGAGATTAAATTAAAAAGATTTACTAATTTCAAATCCAACAGGCATTAACGACCTTAATAAAATAGAAAAACCACTTTGTGGTCGTCGAATCTGATATGGTAATTTATTTCCCCCGTTCTTTCCATAAGAAACCAACACACGTTCCTTACACCCAGTTTTGTCTTTGATTCCGAATTGAAGACGTCTACGCAGAAAGACGAAAAATGTTGTCATTACAAAAATCTTTTCAACTTTGTCTCATCATCATCACGTTAGTATTCTACACCTTACTAACACGCATAACATGTTACATAATATAAATAAATACTCCAAATATATCCGAAAATTGTTAAGATTTTTATATATCTTATATACATCATAAACTATTTTTTCAAAACTATTTGTGTTTACCGACGAATTTCAAAGTTTATTGAAAAGCACAAACTCAAGTCAACCGACATTTTGTGCACTGAAATGAACCTTCATGTCGTTAGATTATCGCATGACAGACAGTCGAAAAAAGAAAACCCTAAAAGAATTTGTGTCTTTCAATATCGATCCGGAAAGCTCGGAATGGCAAATAAAACATTGAAGATTTTTCACTTGTTCGAAAGCCATATTTTTATTCTAATCATTCATTTTCTAATATAAAAATATATATTTTCATTTATCAATTATGAAATATATATGCATATATATCACTTATATATATAAAAGGATTAGACTTTACATTCGAAGAAGACATATGCACTGGCTGCCTGGAATTAGAAAGATTGTGGAGCGTCACTAGCGCTTGAGATAGTGGTTGACTTTCGAAAATATATTTAAATTTTATTTCTAATAATGAACCATTGAAACATTTTCTTATAAGAAAAACACAGTGTTATTTTCATGCATTTTTACCCAGATATAAATGGAGATGACTTCTTAGTTTAGCAGGGCACTTTATTCAAGAAAGAGCTGCATAAATATATTTATCGAGTTTTGGAGATTCATATTTAAAGGTTTTGAATTGCAATATATAATAATAACGATAATAGAGAAAATCAGATATAAGTAGATAAATTTGAACACTTAATGATAATATATATATATATATATATATATATATTTATTTAAAAGATTTATAACATAAATAATAATAAAATCACTACAAAAAAATAATATATATATGTGTGTGTGTGTGTATCAATTTTAAAAAAAAAAATATTAAAAGAAATTAAAATCTTCAGAAAATTGGGTTGTATATTAATATTCTTCCATTTTTTTATTATTTTGTTTAGGTTCCTCAACTAGTTTCCTTCAACATGGCCATCATCAGAGAGAAAAAAATCTGTTTGTTTTTAGCAATGAACTACATAAATAAATTTTGATGGAGAAAAAATGAACTTTAGAATCTGTAGTTTTCATTTTTTTTCAGTTTTTTTGTTATGTTATTTAAGTTAAGGCTGGATGGATTCATTCCCTTGGTCATTTTGATAGTTTTATTTGTTCCTGGAAAGGGGATGCGTCTCTGTTAAGTGTGTGTGTTATTTACTTAAGAAAGGGAGTGAGTCAGTAGGATGTCTGTAAGTGTTATATATATATGGCTGTGTGTATGAAATGAGGGGCCTCATAAATATATGAGCAAGTCGGTCTTATGTGGGTGAGAAATGGTGGTTAGGTCCTGATTTGTGGGGATATATATAAAATTAATTCTATCTATATTGTAAAAATTTGTGCTCAAGCCCGTCTGGATGGAACGCTTTTAGGCGCAGAATCCACTTATCTTCAAATACTTCTAAAATTTTCTAATGTTATCTGCTCTGAACTTTAATATTTTCTCAATTATAGTGAATTTGGCATCGTGTTTTTGTCGATGGAAATGCTGTTCTACAGGAATAATCTTTCATATATATATATATATATATATATATATATATATATATATATATATATAGAGAGAGAGAGAGAGAGTTTTAAGATAGATAGATAGATATATATAAACATAGATAGATAGATAGAGAGATAGAGAGATAGATAGATAGGGGGATTAAATTTGAAATAAAATAAAATATATATATAATATATATATATAGAGAGAGAGAGAGAGACAGACAGACAGACAGACAGACAGACAGACAAACAGGCGAACATAGACAGACAAACAGATAGAAACATCTGAATAGACCTAAATAGACAGAGACAGATAAATAGATAAACTATGAACAGACAGAAAATATATCGGAAAGATAAATACACACAATTCTTTAACTCCAGACACATATACATATATGGTATATATATATATATATATATATATATATATATATATATATATATATATATATATATTTAAGTTATGAAGAACTTGGTAAACCGAATGTATGTAATTCCAAGGAGGATGAAATCAGAGAGCTCAATGTGAATACAGAACTAATATTTAATGAAAAACATACCACTTTAAGGTACCATCACAATAATTTATTTCACCAAAATCCTTTTGTATATATATATATATATATATATTATATATATAGGTAGGTATAATATGAACAGGAAAAAGATAGATTTCAGTTGACTGAGATTGATAGACAGACAGAGAGATAGATGCTCTGTCCGAGCAAGACTGAGGCTTTTATGTGTTTTGATAATCTATGGTACTAAGCTCAACTTATCAAATATATTTTGCAACCTACCATATCTAGCTAGCTATGTTTAAATATGATTATATCTATAACTTCGAATGAATTCATATATTTTTTTCATCTATTCTTATTAAATTCCGAAAATAAACCTTCCATTGGAATCGGAGTTAGCGTGCTTCTTCTCTTCTATGTGCCGTGTCCCTTCCGGACGTGGACGGTTTATAGCACTCCCCAATTTTGTATTTTTTCTATCTCTCCTTAACTCTGTTCTTCAAACCATTTCCATAAGTTCATTGGGTACGTTATACCCTGTGTCCTCTGACACACTTGCCTTCAATATGTCCTGTGTGTGTTAGATTTTGCAAGCCTCTTTTCCTCATTATGTGGCTCAGAATTTTCAGTTGTTCGTACATTCAGATTTAGTGTCCTTTTTGCTTCCATTTTCTCTTAAACTTCATCATTGCCCACATGTTCAGTCTATGGTATTCCCAGCATTCTTCTACAAAACCACAATTCTCTTGGTTCAAGTCTCTTTTTCCATCTGTGATGATACTGCCCAGCATTCACTACCATAGAGGAGGACTGATATCAATGGACACGTGATGATGACCAGAAGGTAGTTGGTCGAAACGTAGTATCTATATTAATAAGAATAATACGTGTTGTTTATAATGATAAGAAGAAATATATTCATAACATTTCAGCACTCTTTTCTTTTGTTTTTAATGTGATTTCTTAATGCTAACATCAGTTTTTCAATTGCATGTTGGAATGTTGCACTTGTTGAAAAGCCTGGTATAAGGCCACCAGTCGCCGCCAAGATAGCTTTTGTTCTTTAGTGTTTACCCGCCAAATATTTGATACACTTTCAACGTTAGCTTCATTAAAGCAAAATATTTATCATTGTTACCATTAGTTTAAGCCATTTTTCAAGCGACATATGATACAATGCAACCAGAATTGATTTCCTTTCTCGAAGAGAATCGTATAAAGACGCAAATAATCAGCACTATGAAGCAATATCTACTGAATAAAACGGATAAGTGAAAATATACCAACCAATCTGTAACTATGTATGCCACTAAGTGTCATCCTGACTGGTATTATCGATGCTACTTAACTTCGAGGATCTGATAACATTCAATGCTTTCAGGACGATTTAATCCATAGGTTATCTATCTATCTATCTATTGATTATCTATCGATCATCTATCTATCGATTCTAAAAAAACATCGGTTATTTCTTTATCGGTCTAAGATCGAAAATCTATCTATTCATCTATCTAGATATCTATTCATCTGTCTGATTATCGATTCATTGAATCTGTCAATCCATCTCTCCCCAAGATCTCTCTCTCTCTCATCTATCTATCTATAAAATCTCTGTCATACTGTAAGAAATCTATCTAAGATTCCAAAGAATCTATCTCATTCATCTGTCATACTGTTCATATGAATTAGAATCTATCTAAACGGAAATCTTGAAAAGAAGAATCTCTCTCTCTCTATAGATATATATATATATATATATAAAAGTTTGTCTGTCTGTCATACTGTTCCAAATTCATCATTTATTCATTTATCATTATATATATATATATATATATATATATATATATATATATGTGTCTGTTTGACTAACAGAACTGTTCATATCTATTCATCAATCTACACATCTATTCATATATATATATATATATATATATATAAATCTGTTTGTCTGTCTGTCATACTGTTCATATTCATCTATCTATTCATCTATTATGAAAAATTATATATCGTATATATATATATATATATGTCTGTTTGTCTGTCTGTCATACTGTAATGGCACGATTCATCTATCTCAGTTTGTTCACATTTATATTTTAATATATTCATCCATTTTCTATTTGCTTTTATCTATCTCAATTTTGTATTTATTCATCTATTCATTCATATTATTTATTCAGTCTATCTATGAGAATCATATGTTTAAATGAAAAAGATTATCTGTTTCACTTTCATTCATGTTTTATCTTTTACATCGTTAAAAAACAATTTATATTCATAAAGTTTATCTAAAATCTTTCATTACCATATTCCTGTTCTATTTATATATCTATCTCTATTTTGCACACATCTGAATCTATCATCTAAAAAATTATTACCAAATTTTCATTCAATCTATATTATATATTTATAAATATATCTATCAATCTCACTATCTCCTCTATCTATCTCTATATAATATATATATATATATATATATATAAATATATAGGAAGATTATAACTATTTATTAATTATATACAAAAATTTTATCTCCCTTTATTTAGCTTTTTCTCTCATAAAATTCATTATCTTTCTCTTTCTATGTCACATACGCAGTTTTTGTTTTGAACACTGATTATTTATATTACTTCATTTTTTTAATTTGGGATCCAGGAATATTATTTGAACCTGAGTTATTGTTATACAGATTTCCAATTTCAATTTAAAATTCAGATAAAAATATTTAGACTTTATTGAAATCAAACATTATATTCATATATATATAGTTGTAAAGTGGATAAATGAAACGCCCAAATATGTAAGGCGTGAATTGGTGATCGAATTAAAATTTTTATTGCCAAACGAACACCACGCAGCGAAATTACAGTCGCACACAAAAAACGTAGGACGTTTATGCATTTTAATGCATATATATATTGTTATATATATATATATATATATTTTTATTGCATGTATGATCCAAAAATGACGCCAATTCATCGAGTTTGATCCTTTTAGAGACAATTGACATCAAGCCACAATCATTGACACGGTGACAGCGTCATTACACATATTGGATATAAATCGATAACATATATATAGTAATATATTTATATAAATATATATATATATATATATACTGGGGACGAGGTGGGGTTGGTAAACAGTGACTATTATAGCTTATAGCGAGCAATGCGAATTGAGTCACTGTCGGTCACTGGGCGTGTTTCTAAAAAAATAAATACGCTAAAAAATCGTATTTTCATGGATTACCGTGCGCCAGACGGCTTAATGGTTAGAATCTCCGACTGACACCAATTCAGTCGGGTTTCGATCCTAGAGGCAACCGGATGTCTTATACACTGATGAGCTGTGAAACAGGAAATAGTCTGTCTATGGATGACGTTATATATATATATATATATATATATACCTTGATGTATACATTTATATTATATAAGAAATATTACACGCACATATATATATATACACAATACATAACATATATATATATATATATATATATATATATATATATATTTATAATATTTATCTACCGGCCTTAATATTCGAGAAAAATTATTAAAGGAAAATGTGGCAGAATTGAACTGGGTAATCGTAAAACCACTAACGACGTAAAAAGACAATATCTGATCGAGATGTTGACCGACAAACCTTTTGCTATAGATATTAATTGATTGATTGATATATATATATATATATATATATATATATATATATATATATATATATATATAGATATATATATATATATATATATATATATATAAGTTTGACCAAAATTCATGTCAAAAATACGAATATAAATGAAAAATACAGACAAATCATTCATGATTTTTCCATAAGACATTCATCACATGTTTTTGTATGTCCTTTTAGAAGCAGGAAATCATTTTCCTGATAATGGCTATTTTAAACGTATAGTCGAGTTGAGATTTTATTAAAACGCGAAGGAATATAGTTGATAATTCCATGATATGAATATATAATTGTTTGATGGCCGATATATTCATTATATATAATATATATATATATATTATATTATATATATATATATGATATATTGCTTAAATACTTAAAAAAAAAAAAAAAAAAAATCAAATTATCTATATATTAATGGCATTATATCATTTGATTATATATTAAAATAAATAAAAATGGAATTTAATTTGTTCGTAATCATTTTATATATTTCGGCAAATATATTTTATTTTTTTCAAATTTGAAGATATATATATATATTGACCAATATATATATATTCATTTATTTGATTATTATATAAAAATATATATATATATATATATATATATAATATATATATATATATATAAATATGTGTAATAATTGTATTTGGCTTAAGTTGGAGGATGCTTTTAAGTTGACATTGAGGCGACCACTGCAGGGTGGTGACGTTAATTTTTAGTTTTATATTGACATATTGACATTTTAATCCATAAATGTAGCATACCTTAAAAAACTTTATTTTTATCATATTTTTATATATATATATATATATATATATATATATATATATATAATATCAAATGTCCGTGGTGGAAAGGATAAGAAAATAAGTCTTTTAAATAAATCATTAAAAAGATGGATCCATAAAGAGAGTTCAAAATATAGTATATAGAGCAATATGATATACACCAAGGAAAACTTTCATGAGTGATGCATGGGAGAATATAGTAACAGCTAAAATAATAACAGTATTTCTATTTACAACAGAATTACACATAAATACAGGGAAAAAACTAACAACATTCCGCCACATAATATTCAATATTATAAATCCCCAGAAAATAGATTTTTCATGTCAAGCGTCTGTACTTTCTGTTATCTTGACTTTTTAAAATAATTCTGGATAAATATAAATTTAAACCATTTGTAATTTCGATCTGGTGAGACCCGTTGTAATAAATTATAATTAATAAGCGTGTTTTCGATGATGCGTTAAGTTTTTCTTTGATGTACATACATGCACACACACACACACACACACACACACGCACATTTATATGTGTGTTTGTGTTCTTTTCAAATAAAAATTCTACTGATAACTATGTGTCAGATATATAGATCCGCATCACACACACACACGCACACATACACAAAAAACCCCCATATATATATATATATATATATATATATATATATATATATATATATATATGATGTTGTTTTTTACTGAGAGTCCAAGGTAGTGGACAGGGCATTGTAATTGAAACAAACATTTAGAATCAATACCTTTAAATATCTCTGGAGACGTGTACGTTTATTAGCATGGTCGCTCAGAGAGGATCGGATGTCCGTGTCTATGAGAGAAGGCTCAACGCTGCCACGAATTGTCAACGACGTACGCATGCGCAGAACATTAATGTCGGACAACTGAGAAAAGTGCCTGCAGTTTCTTCATTTTACGTGTCTATCCATTTTGTTGATGCTTGATTCTGTTATTTTTGGTTTGAACGTGTGATGGCTTCGGAAGTCAGTGATTAAATTAGGTTTGAAGGGGTCCGTCTATTTTTGTTCCTGTCTATTTATGCATCGACAGTGGCCTGTTCTTACAACTTTCTCAATTTCTCTCTCTCTCTCTCTCTCTCTCTCTCTCTCTATCTATCTATCTATCTATCTATCTATCTATCTATCTATCGATCTATCTATCTATCTCTAGCTAACAGTCTGTTCATATCTGCTTATTAACATTTCTTAGTTCTGTTTTTTCTTTCTTTCTTTCTTCCTTTTTCATTCTCGTCACAGCTCTCTATCTATCCCATATGTGTTAATATCTATGTATCTATCTAAATTGTTTATTTTTCTCTCTCTCTATATATATATATATAAATATATATATATATATATATATATTATGGCTATACATACGTGTATTGTGTTTCATTAAATGTAAACAAATCATATCCATCCACACAAAACCATATATATATATATATATATATATATATATATATATATATATATATATATATACCACCAATATTCATCTATTTATCCTGGTCTGTTTTATTCATTCATCTCTAACTGACTCTCTATTTATATTTGCTTATTTACCTTTCTTTCTTCTTTTGTCATTCTCTTCATATCTATCTATCTATCTATCTATCTATCTATCTATCTATCTATCTCAGTCTGTTCATACCTATCCATCTATCTGTCTGTCTGCCTGTCCATCTATCTATCTCAGTCTGTTCATATCTATCTATCTATCTATCTATCTATCTATCTATCTATCTATCTATCTATGTGTCTGTGTCAGTGTTTGTTTACGTCCGTCCGTCTGTCTGTCGGGATGTTGCTGCTAATATATTGGAATAAATTGTTCTCGGTTTTTCTACGTCTAGAAACCAGGATGATATTCCCGGTCATTTATTCTGCATTTAACTCAAGTCAGAAAAGCGGCCAACCGCTTAAACGATATATAAACAAATTTTATCTCCGGAACAACCGCTAAGTCACGCTGATATCAATAAAATACAGCCCCGGATTTATTTGCAATTTGCTTAAACGTTTTTGAAAAAAAAAATAAATGTCAATAAAAAAAATTATTTGCTGATATTTTTGCGATATATAAATGTCTAAATATTTTACAACTAACAAAGTAACGGTAACATCACAGTGAACATGAAAGCCAAAAATGGGATTAGTTTATACTATTCAATAATTTAGAAGTGTCTTCGTGTCACAAGGCAAAGCCGACACTTAAAGAAAGAAGGGAAAAAATAAAGTCTAATGAAAGATTTTTAATGAGGAAAAGAAAAAGACAGACGTGCATTAGAAAGAAAGGGGAAAATAAAAGAACAGATGGATCTCTGTTAGAAAATAATGGAAGGAATAGAGGATAGAGGGAATTGAAATTTGATGGCATATAAAGAAGTTAACAGATCAACAGAAAGAAAGAAAGAAAGAAAGAAAGAAAGAAAGAAAGAAAGACGAACAAACAAAAGGGAAAAGGACTCACGTATAAAAAGTGTAGCGTGAAAAGTTGATAAAAATAGAAAAAGGTTTATGAAAGAAAGAAAAAAAATGACTGTAACTGGAAAAATGTCGGGAGGAAAGTTGATAAAAAGTCGAGAAAAGAAAGTGTTAGAAAAATAAGAAATTGAAAGAAAGAAAGAAAGAAAGAAAGAAAGAAAGAAAGAAAGAAAGAAAGAAAAACGGGATTGATGATAAAAAAGACAAGGAAAAAGAAAGAATCAATAGAGAATATATAAAGAAT